AGTTCAGTAGAGATTGACAAGTCCTTCGCTGAAATTATCCAAATGATTCTAGTGAAGGTGTGGACAGTGGCGCACTTTCTGTATTACCACATGAGTGTTTTCAGAGTGTTCGAGACAAGAACTCAGCCTAAAGATGCAGAGTTTGTGCGTTAAACATGTGTGAATTATACAAAACATAACTCCAGGCCTGTTTGTGATGAGGAAACTTTATAACATAGTTCGGAAAATAGCGTGGCCCTTTAAAAATGTGTTAAAATATTTAGTTAAAATTCCCTTCACATCTGTGTTCCAGTTTTTCATTTTCAGTATCTGTATTGGCCCTGCACAGTCAGAGATTTTGCAAAGATAGTGAGAGGAAACGTTTTATCTCAGAAGTTTTTTGGTCACAGACAACTCAAAACTATTCAAAGCGCTAGACGGTCGTTTTCGTCGTCTCTTCAGCGGCAGGATGTTTACACAGACTAAACCAAGAGACATAACAACGTGTGAAGGAAAACAAGAGACTATCAGGCTGAAGCAGCAACTTGGAATCCTCTGAAAGTGCGAAGTGAGACCGTACGCCCACAAACGCAGGTCGGCAAACGCAGTTGTCACAGACTCCGGTCTTTGGTGTAAACAGGGGCTCTTCTTCTACCACAACGTGTCAGACGAACTGTGAAGGCTGAAGATAGACCAGAGCAGCACACGGCTCACTCAGACCTCCTAAAGTCTTTCATTTAAACCTGCCGCAAATTAGGCTCCCAACTCCAAGTCTGAAGTAACAGGATCTTTCAAAAACCTTTTTCTGGTTTTGTAGAGTTCGGAGTAACCTGCAAGTCTTCACGCTCTGGCTCAAATTTACTTTGTATTGAAAACCGTCGCCCCTCTCTCTTTGGATCCTAAAATGTCCGTATTAACTTGCTGTTTTTATTTTGCTATTTTGTCCGTTAATCAAGATATCAACATTATTAACAGAGAAATCAAAAAACAGACAAATTCTTTCCCCAAGGCTGCTCCTCCGTAACCGCTAGCAGCGATGAGCTTAATTTTGCTGGAGCCGATCGCTTTGTACAACGTCACACTCACTTCTTTGGTTCACATGAGGCTTATCACCAGGGAGCTCACACATGAAAGAATAGTCTATGTTAATGTGTATGTATGGCTGGTTTAAAGATATACAGGGTTCCCACGGTCATGGAAATCCTGGAAAACTCGTGGATTTTTTTTTTATATCTCTTTCATGCAGCTCCAATGTTCTGTTAACATATCCTTAGGCTGTTATGATTATTAGTCCAATGAGATTCATTTGGTCTTCCAATATTCTATATTCATTAGGTTCTTTTTTTCAGACCTAGAGTGTTATTTCATACCTGACAGTTTCGACCTGTTTAAATCAGCTGACCAGACACGTCACAGCAACATCACGTGACCACTAGTGAGCAATCGAAACTGTCAGGTATGAAATAACACTCTAGATCTGAAAAAAAGTACCTAATAACATGTTATGATTATTTCCAAACGTATGTGCCTTTTGTTTAAAAGAGACGACAATAAAAGCACTGTCAGTATTTTGAAAAGAGGTGGGGGCTTGCAAGTTGTGACTTGGACTCGAGTCAGACTTGAGTCACTATTTTTAGGACTTGAGACTTGACTTGATAAAATGGACTAAGACTTGGGACTCGACTTGGACTTGAAGGTCAGTGACTTGGGACTTGACTTGTGGCCATATCGGCTTTTAAAATCCTGATCCCGTCAGATCTCAGAAGCTAAGCAAGGCTGGGCCCGGTTAGTACTTGGATGGGAGACCACTGGGAAAATCAGGTGTCACTGGGGGGCGCCAGTTGTAAAAAAACAAACAAAACTGTTGTTGTGTCCTTAGGCAAAGCACTTCACCCTCATTGCCGAGTATGAAAGTGGTGTGTGTGTGAGTGATGGTGGTGGTTGGAGGGACCGATGGCGCAGATTGACAGAATGAATAATGTTCTGTAAAAAGCATCTTTGAGTGTCCAAGAAAGCACTATATAAAACTGATGCGTTATTATTATTCATTATTATTATTGACTTGGATTTGAGCCCTGTGACTTCAAGACTTTTTTTCTGACTGTAATGATTCACACTAAGATCTTGACAAGACATTTGAAAAGGAAAAATTTGCATTTCCACAACTCTTATATAAACACTCATATTTAAACAGTTTAGCTTAAAAATCATATAAATTGCCAAAATCTAAGCTATAGTTGGTACTTTGGTTTAAGGACTTGAAGTGACTTGAAGTTATGGGCCAGTGACTCGAGACTCAACTTGGACTTGCCTGTATTTGACTTGGGACTTGACTCAGACTTGAGGTGAAAGACTTGAGACTTACTTGAGACTCGCAAATCAACGACTCGGTCCCACCTCTGATTCTGAATGTTAAAAAACTATAATACCATAACATGTGAGAACTTTGGTGAGTGGAAAGAGTTAACATTTCATATTTAGCCCTGAAAGTCTGGTCTGTTTTACACATGGAGGTGCCGTAAAGTCATGGAAAAGTTTTGAAATATTATCAGTGAAAAAGAGTGGAAACCTTGGATATATTAAGTCACTTTTTTGGTGAAGTGCATTATCACTTGCTTGAGTTAACGCTTTCCCCCCTGGACGCCTACTAGGAACAACCCATACATATGTTACTAGGGCTACACCCATAGAGCATAACTGCATAAAAGAAAACAGACTTCCACGAGTGATTATAAATGATTTTTACACTCATGAACTTAATTGTAACACAGACATATTTGTATCTCTGGAAACCTTAGACTCTGAACTATTCATTTATGGATGTTTAAATGTGATTCAACTCATTTATAGGTGTATAACAGCTCACTGAAAATGAGAGTTTACCTGGTCAGGTGCAAACTCGAAAACAAAAAAACTACATTCAGCATTTGATATATACATGTTCTGAGTACTATATTCATAAAAAAATAAAAAATATATACTTTGTCAAAGTATTTAAACAGATTTCATATCACCAGATACAGTATAGCCAAGTGTGCACCTGTTTTTACCTGTTGTACACCTGTGTGCACCCAATTAATTTTTTTCCATTTAACTTATTCAACTCATTTAGCTTATTCAACTTATTTTATTTATTCAACTCATTTAGCTTATTCAACTAATTTAGCTTATTATAATATAATAAATATAATAATAAAACTCTTCCCCGTCAGTGTGTGTCCAGTATTTGTCATCTTGGTCTATTTTCTCGTGTGCAGAGCTCCACATAAGTGTTTTTTCTGTAGCGATTCTGTTATACATCGCATCTTGGAAAAAAAAGACTGAAATATTTTAAAGGACTGGCCTGGGCAACATCCAGATTTCAGGGCAATTTTGGTTCATAATCGAGTATAAAGCTCAGATAGTTTGTTGGGACATCGCAGGACTCCACTTCTCACCTTCTCCCCGAAAGTCCGTCGCTGTCGCTGTTTTCCACTTTATAATCAACTTCAACATCATCACTTTGAAATCTATAAAAGTCACTTTCTCTAAACTTATCCATAAAATACGTCCGCTCCTCATTATTTCTAAAACTGTGCGCCGCAGCGCCGCGATCTTTCCATTGCACGTGTTTCGTGTTGTGTTTTTTCCGGAAGCTACCATCGTCACTATTTCGATTAACTTCGGAAAAAATCAGCGAAAACATATCCTTGAATCCTATTGGTCAGTCTAGTGTGGGTTGTAGTGGCCCCCACCGATCACAGTCTCTGTTTAAATGTGAAAAACCGAGCCATTTCTAAAGGTCGTCAAATCTCGTCTTTAGTGATACAGCGGAGGTGTCAAAAGTCGTCATTAAGGGTTCAGGGGGGGTCGTCAAATGTCGTCTTCATGGGGGAAAGAGTTAATGCTTTGTCTGGATAGAATGTTCCACAGTATGGCATTTGAAGTGTCTGTCTCCATGGAAAAAAAAGAGTAACGCCACCTGGCCGAGTTGCAGGTCAGATCTGTGGAGACGCAATAGTTAGAAAACAAGCTGAATCCAAGGTATTTTTGTACGAATACCTGCCATGGAATAAATACTAGAGACAGATGTAATGCCACACTGTGAAACATTCCAGGCAAAGCAATTACATCTCCGTGGAGACGAGCAAACAGACAGCCTGAACAACCTGAAGAGTTATAGTGCGCCGAGTTATACTGAGAATACCAACCTGTCAAAGGGAATCAAAAAGTTTTCAGGAAATGTCAACAGAAAAGGCACGTTATCAGATTTCTTAAAAACTTAAATTTACTTTTAACCCAAACTCCTGTTGAAATCTTATTGAAAAGGTGAATAGGTAAAGTCTATAAAGAACATTTACACTTTGAATGAAAAGAAAAATGAAGAGCTATTTGTATTATTAGACCCTGAAGTGAATCTTATTATGTTCTATATTTTTTATTATGTTTGTGCCACAATTTATCTGCAAATGAGCCACTCCAAAGCTCAAAATGCTCTGTTCCACCTTGTGATGTAACGATGCGGTAGTTTTTATGTTAACAGCTACTTTTTCACTTTCATTCATTCTTTTGATTGGCAGTTCCAGGGCTGAAATCGTCCAAATGATTCTAGTGAAGGTTTATGGAGTTTAGAGACACAATGGAGCACTTCCTGTATTAGTGCATGACATGAGCTTAGAGAACTCAGTCAAAATATGCAGGGTTTGTGTGTTAAAACATGGAATGATCTTGAAGCAAAACACAACTCTGGGTCTGTTTATGATGAGGAAATAACATTATAACATAATGAAATATGCATCAGTGCAAAATGGGCCCTTTAAACTATAACCTATAATTTATGAAGTTTTCTGAGATATTTGTTTCATTAGACCTTGATAAACAGCAGTGAATCCTACAGTATTATGTTCTATACTACACCATTTTACTCTCACATTTATGCCACAACTGACCCACAAGTTAGGCTAGCTCCAGAAGTTCAGTTTGTGTGTGATAATTTTACAAAAGTTTGATTTTAAATTTGTGTTTTTTTCTTTCTCTTACAGTTCTTCATCGTCTTGCTGATCATCCTCGTGGCAGAGCTCATACTCCTCATCCTCTTCTTTGCGTACTCAGATAAGGTAAGGTCGATCTGCTTTGTTTGAAGAAGACCTATTGTGCTTGTGTCTGCTCTGTAGTTATAATCTATGACACCCATGGATCATTATGTACACATTCTGAATTGTCATATTCATCTGAAAGGACTTAGTAAGAAGACTCAAGTCCACTTTTTCATTCATACCAAAATGATTACACGACACTGCCAAATCCAACATGTATCAGAACTGCATGTTAAGAAAACACAACTCGAGAAAAAAGTAAGCACAGAGCAGGGGCCATATAGCTTGATTCATCACTTCGTAGAAACTGTCTGACCTCGCAGCATTAGGACTCGTTCGCTCGACGTTAGACAAGTACTTTTTTTTTTAACCAATCACTACTCTTTGTTCGTGACATATGTAATGTGCTGCTAACAGGGCTAATTGGTATATTAAACTTTTCCCAAATCCCGTAGGAAGAAGGGCAATAATGTCTTTCCCATTGATAAAATTTACCAAACATTCTCTTTGTTCCGGCTTTAACTCTTTCCCCCATGAAGACGACATTTGACGACCCTCCCTTGTTTCCTTAATGACGTCTTTTGACACCTCCGCTGTATCACTAAAGACGTGATTAGACGACCATTACAAATGGCTCGGTTTTTCACATGTAATCAGAGGCTGTGATAGGTGTTGGCCACTACAACCCATATATACTAATATATGTATGGGTTGTTCCAAGTAGGCGTCCAAGGGGGAAAGAGTTAAATCCTCGATCTCGGGAATCGTTGCCAACAGAGAACGTCTGTCTTTGTCTACATCCATCTCAATGCTTTGTTTACTGTTGTTGTACCACAAAAGGGACCCAGACAGGCGCTTGAGTTTGATGTCATGGCTTCACAGCTCTTCGCTGATTGGTTGGTGCGCAGTCTACAACTTCCGGGGTTCTTGCAAATCGTCTAGTGTATTCTGATTCCTGACCTAGTCGCTGGAGAGAAATGAAATTGAGCGAAGGCACTAGGTGGCAACAGCCTGGCTAGAGACCATATGCAGGTGGCAGTGAAAACAGGAATTCCAAGAACGTTCATTTTGTGTTCTGAAGACGGTTTGCGAAACATGTCAACGAGGTGAATACATCTCCTACTGTATTGTATATAAAAAAGAAAACGGGAACTGATCTGCATATATATATATATATATATATATATATATATATATATATATATATATATATATATATATATATATATATATAATAAAAACATTCTGAATAATATTAAAACAAGCGATTAAAGTTTGCTCAGACACGCTTGAATCACTCCAAATACAACTTCCGAGAGGGTAAATGAGAAAAGGAAACAGCTACAGCAGGTTAAAAGCTCTGAAAAGTCCATTTTGCAGAATAGGTCCGTCTTAAACCTCTTATTATTACAGTAAGTCGCAGTTGTTGCACTATATAGCACTTTAAAGTTTATGCCACACTTCCTATAACCTTGACTCTCACTACACAGCAGTTTGAAAGCCCCTATTCACAAGATAATGTTTTTACTTCGGCCTGGACCACACAACAAGCATCGGCCAATAAAGTGTGATAGTGTGTTAAACAGCAGTGCTCCAGTTGCTTCCTTGTGAATGTTTTTTCGTGGCTGGACCTTCAATGTATTCAATCCCCCACAGTGCAGAGGTTAGGCCACTAAATGCAGGGCAATCCTCACCAGTTGGCTCCTTATAATTGGTCCCAAATGAATTTCCCATGACCCTTTGCATGTGTTGCATTAGGAGTTCGTTTGAGGATGAGACCGACGACAAGTGTGCCGTCCTTGGGTGCTTGGTTGTTTTGCCAAGTGAATGTGAAATGTGAAAGTTTTATCAGAATCTTAATATCCAAAAGTGAAAAAAATAAATACAAATGTGGTACTGTAGTCCAAAGCAAGGAAAAATGATCTAATTTGAAAATTTTAAAAAGCCATTGGACGTCAGATATCTGAATGTGCTATGCTTTTTTTTTCACTTTTGGATTGTTGTTCCTTCACCTCTGCAAGAACCTTGGCGTGGTCTTCATATATATTTATTGCCTTTTAGTTTAAACAAAATAATAACAATATAAGCAATAGAAACAAAATAAACATTGGCTCATTCATATATTAGACACAGATACACCCATTTCAAAATGTAAATACCCTGTTCATAATAGCTGAAATCTCAAGTCCAGTATACATCAAAAAAGGTTCCCAAGTCTTCTTAAAAATATTGTCCTTATGATGAAAGCCGACATATCAGGTATTTGAGAGAAACAAAATCAAGAACCATCTTCTGTCGTTGAGTTTTAGAGGGAGTCTCGTCAGATACCCATTTTGTTAGTAGTCGTCTTCTAGCACAAAAAGCCAGAATCCCGTACAATTTTCTGTTATGCTTGTCTTTCACAACAGGGTCAGTTACACCAAGCAATTGAAATAAAGGATTATTAGTCAAATTTACAGACACAATTTTTTGTATTTCTTGTCCAATCATTTGCCAGAATTGCTGGACTTTTGGACAAGACCAAAAACAGTGTGTAAGAGTCTTACTCTTGCACTCATGAGAATCTTAATATCAACATATAGAGGTGCACTGTGTACATTTTTGATTGTTGGTTTCTCACCTTGTTTCTATGGAGTGTTCCACAGTGTGACATTAAACAACTCTAACTTACATTTAATCAGTTTCAAGTGGTTTTATAGCTCAAAAATACCTAGAAAAACGGACATTCTGTCTGTGAGCGGGGTCGCCTCTCCACAGATCTGACCTGTAACTTGGTCTGGTTTGATCTCCATGATGGTAGAAATGTTTAATGCCACACTGTGAAACATTTTAGACAAACCAATAACACCTCCATGGAAAAAAGCAGTTGGTGGACACACAAGAAAATTTACACAATGCATCTTTACGACCAGTGAAGTATTTAAGTAATGTTATTAAGTCTTATCATGTTCATGCCTTTCCTGGTATGTTCCGCAGTATGGCATTAATGGGTTCCCCTGAAAAAGGTTCTTAAAGGTCCTAATTACGTGAAATTGTCTCTTGTGAGCTTAAAGTCGTGTTATAATGTTATTACCTCCTCAAAAAAAAAAAAAAAAAAAGCACCTGGAGTTGTGTTTTGTTTCATTCACACATGTTTAACTAATCCTGTATTAACAGTCTGTCTACATCTCAAAATACTCTTTTCCACTTTGTGATGTCATGAAGTTTTCAAGTTAACAGCTCCTTTTATATTTTGTTAAGTAGCGTTAAGTTGTTGAGTTGAGTTAAGTCAATTCCAGGACAGAAATCAACCAAATGATTCTAGTGAAGATGTATGGAGCTTTAAAATACAGTGTATCTCTTCCTGTTTCACCACATGACATCACAAGGTGGAACAGGAAGGTTTCTGAGAGAGGAACTCAGTCTAAATATGCAGGTTTTGTGCGTTAAACGTGTGTGAATGAAACAAAACACAACTCCAGGTCTGTGTACGATGATGAAACTACATTATAACAAAGCGTACAACTTGGAACAATGTGATCCTAATAAACATTTTTCAGAGGAAAAATTTGAGAATTACCACTGAAAACTGGCATAGTAAGAAATATAGAGCCGTTCTTTTACGTACGTAGCTGAATTTCCCAAACAAACTTGTCATTGATTGATCCGTTCTATTTAAGCATTCAAAGTCTTACGTCCTCGAGCGCCGGGGGACAGCGTGTAATTCCCATTTTTTGTTCCAAACTTATTCCCCTGAACTTGGTCTCTGTCGCTGATAGAGGAATTCATTTAGCAGCAGATCCATTCTCAGATTCATATCAGGTCTCTCAGGCTCTCTCCCTGTCAGCAGCAAGTACTGTATGTCTGTTACTTTATCTCGACAAATATTACCAGCTTAACTTCTTCTTAGGGGGGAAAAAAAAAAAAAAAATTGGACTAAACTTTGATCCTGCTTCCAGAATTTCAAAACGACAAGCTCTCGACTCCACGGTTACATCTTCATCCCCTGTGAAGTTGGGAAGAGTTTGTAGATGAGGGATTTAGATATCTTAAAAAGTGTGTTGTGCAGTCTCTTGTTACCAGGACCCCCAGAGTGTAGTGCCCAAAAGTTGTGTTTATCAGACAAATGCCAGCCTGTGTGCCCAGGATTACTGCCACGTGTGATAAAACAACCGCAAATAACTCCTGACAATAGAGATCAGAGCTGTGTCGTCACATCGTGCAGTTTTCCGTTAGGCTAATTTTAAACCGGTTGAGATTTTAAGCGGCTAAATGCTGAACTTTGCATTCGTCGACTCAACGAGCCTAGTGCACAACCTGTAATAAACAAACAATAAACAATAAAACAAACAAACAATAAACAGACAAACAATAAATGAACAAACAACGCAACAACTTCGCTCATTTTAAAAGATCTTTGGCATTTTTTGCCCTAACAACATGAAACTTGGCCTTGCACACACCCGTACCATTAGGATGACACCCTCCAAATTTGAGATCAGTCGGATGAGTGGTTGGAGAATTATGTGCGGAACAAACAAACAGGAGGAGACACAGACAGACATTTGTTGCATTAATACAAACATGTAAAAATTTGGCCTACGAGATCATATCAAATCTGTATTAGAGCTGCCGGCTACAGATAGACTAAAGAGACATTATTTATTTAAAATGTTCTTATTGTTTTATATTTTGCTTGTTCTGGATTTAATGTTTCAGCAATATTATTATTAAACATTTATTTTAATGAGAAAAGGTTTAACATTACATATCTCGAAAGAAGAGAAAACATGCAGATGTTGTTGAAATTTTTCAATAAATATTTAGTTTGGCCCACGACTTAGTCCCAGTTTTTAGTTTTGGCCTTCTGTGAATTTGAGTTTGGCACCCCTGTATTAGTAGATAGATTGTAGACACTATTGTAGCCACAAGTGCCCTGGGACAGACTGACAGAAGCAAAGCTGCCACTCATGTACACATCTTTCTTACTAGGTGGGTGGACAACAGTTTTTACCTCTAGCGCCCCCCTGTGGCACCTGATT